AGTGTCCCTACCTCCACCCCCGGCCGGCCGTGCTGCTCTTGCACAAGACCCTGAGTCACAGTGTGCAGAGCGGCGTGCGACCTGCCGGGCAGGCGAGGTGATGACACCTGGGGGCACGGCTCTGTTCCCGGAACAGTAAACACCAGGGCTCCGGGGGAAGCTGCCACAGTAACTTTGCCTCTGGAGCCTGGGCCGCGTCTGACAGGCCAGGGGCATCCTGGGAGTAGCGCATGGCAGTGCCAGGTGAGGTGGAGGAGCCCACGGCGCCTTCACTGGGTGTGGCGCGGCGACGGGTGCTGGCAGGGTTTTCTGGGTAGAAAGTCCTAACCCGCGTCGGGGGGAGGGCAGCCGGAGCCACTGGGCCAGGCAGCTTCTCCCAGGCGCCTTCCTCCTGAGTTTTGCTGGCCTTCCGCACCCAGGCCACGAGGTGCGGCGAGGCTCCCGGCCGCAGGCTCTGGGCTTGGCTCCGTGGGCGTGTGTCACACACCCTTCTTTCTGGTGCAGAGGCCAGGGAGCCTGGCGAGGGCCTGTGGGTGTCAGCATGGGAGGGGAGAACGCCCCGCCCCAGCTAACACTGACTCAGCAAATCCGCTGCAGACCCATTTCCAAGCTCTTTGTCCCCGAGGCCCTGGTGTGGCTCCGTGCTCGCCTTGGGGGCTGTGAGCTCCAGCCCTGAGCCAGACCTGGGTACAGGTGGCTGCTGCCCAGGAGGGAGCCTGCTCTGTGTGCTGAGGAGGAGGGTATGGAGCCCTGAGCTCAGCAGTGAGACCAGCTCCCTGTGGCTGTCCTTGTGGAAGAGCCGTGAGATCCTTGGAGGCTGGGGGGGGCGGGGGGGCATCCCCCTGCTCTGCCAACCCAGGCGTCCTCCTGGTGGGGCGGGCACTAGTCCCCCAAGGCTGAGAGGAGGGAGGGCACCGAGGCACCCAGGATGTGCTGGCTGCAGTGCCCTCGTCCGGAGGCTTGTGATTCTGTCACCTCTCAGTTCCTGGGAAGTGGGGCGCTCAGGAGCGTCGTCTTTGTTGACAGGTGGCTAGAGGGGGGGTCCCTGTTAGCGTCTAGGGTCCCAGGGATGGTTTCCTGCAGCCTCAGGCCCACAGGCAGCCTGCACAGGCCCAGGTTCCAGGCCGTCCCCAAGGTCAGGGCCCTGTTCTGGGGTGGGTCCTGGTTCTGAGGCTGGTGCCAGGTGTGCCCAGGTGTCTCCAGTGGCTGTGCTACCTGGACAGCCCAGGGCGGCGTCCTCCGGGACCACACAGGACAAGGGCTGCCATTTGGATGAAAGCGTTTCCGAGACGCTGATGCAAGCTGCCCTGAGCCACACGCCATCACCTGCTGTGCTCTCTCCACAGGAGGACCCGCTCTCTGCACGGGCCATGCCCCGTGACCACTTTTGGACCAAAGGCCTGTGTGCTGCAGAACCCGCAGACCATCATGTGAGTGTGTGTGGGGGGCGGGGTTGGGGGGCGCTCCCTGCCCGGCGTCCAGGGGGGTCGCTGTGTGTGGAGGCTCTGGTGCTGAGTGAGACGCCGCTAAGTGGGTGTCTCCAGTGCCTGGCGGGGGGGGCAAGTATGCCCAGTTTTGATTTGATTTGATTTGATTTTTCAGTAAAAAATGTAGGAAGAAAATGCCGTATTTTATACTCACACACTTGGTGGGGCAAATGTTTCTCCTTTAATTGTTACTAAAATGCAAGACGTTGTATTTGGAGAATCTGAGTGACTTGTTGGAGGAGATGATGCCGCGCAGGTGCTGTTCCCACAGCTGCTCTGGAGCCGCCCGAGGGCTGCGCACCTGCAGTGGCCGCGTGGCCGAGGAGATGTGTTTGTTTGTTTAAAAGAGAAAGCATATTTGAAATATGTATTTTATTGATTTTTTTACAGAGAGAAAGGGAGAGGTATAGAGAGTTAGAAACATCGATGAGAAACATCGATCAGTTGCCTCCTGCACACTCCCCACTGGGGATGTGGCCGCAGCCAAGGTATATGACCTTGACCGGAATCGAACCCGGGACCCTTGAGTCCATAGGGCAACGCTCTATCCACTGAGCCAAACCGGTTAGGGCCAAGGAGACATGTTTAAACGCTAATCAGCCTGGCCCCGCCAGAGCGGCTCAATGGGTGGAGCGCCATCCTGGCCTGTTCGCTTCCATCAGGGCACATGCCGGGTTTCAGACTCAGCCCCCAGCAGGGGGCGTGCAAGAAGCAGCTGTTGTTTCTCATCGCCGCTTCTCTCTCTCTCAAAAATCAATAAAAACATATTTTTAAAAATTATTAGAGCAGTTTTAGGTTCACAGCAAAATTGAGGGAGAGGTACATAGATTTCCCACCTGCCCCCACCCATGCACATCCTCCTCACCACCGACCCCTCGTCACCACCAGGCCCGGGTACATTGGGTCCTGGGTGCTGTGCATTCTGGTGCACAGGCGTGTAGTGATGTGTTCACCATGGTTACCAGAGGCATGTCACTGACCCCAGATCCTGCAACTGGCTTTAAAGGGGGTTTTTAGCTGTAACAGTTGAGGGCCATCTGAGTGCTCACGCAGAGGTGTGCTGTGGGCTGCACCCGTGAACAAGTCAGC